AGAGAGAGAGAGAGAGAGAGAGAGAGAGAGAGAGAGAGAGAGAGAGAGAGAGGAGAAGTGGGACACTGTGATCATGTTTTGTGGCTGTTACATGTGATGCATGCATTGCATCTGGTCTCCCTCGGAGTCTGCACCAGAGGAGTGACTGGACTATGCTACCCTTGTTAAGAAAGCGTGAGCAGGGGGGCTTACACCCCCTGAGTGTGGCCAATAGGATCCGTTCTAATCGGATAAAGGAGATCAGCTTAGCTGCGAATAAGGAGGTGGTTAGTCCTCACCGCAGCGGTGTGAACAGTCTACAAGTCGATCCTGCAGAAGGCCGTTTTCTGCTCTCAGGTGCATCTGATGGAACGATTGCAATCTTCGACATGCAGACACCGTCTCGGCACGAAGGCCTCACTGCAAAACATGAGGCAATCTTGGTGACTGATAGAAAGAACCCACAAGGTCATCGGTTCAGTGTCACGAGTGTCTGCTGGTACCCCGTTGATACGGGGCTCTTCGTCACTGCATCCTTTGATAAGCATGTGAAGGTTTGGGATTCGAATGCTATGTCTGTGGAGATGGATTTCAAGATGAGTGGAAAGGTGTATAGCATTGGGATGTCTGCAATGACGCAAAGTCATTGCCTTATTGCCACAGGGAGCGAGGAGCCACTGGTTCGGCTGTGCGACATTGCGAGCGGGAGTTTCACACACACTCTGGAGGGGCATCGTGACTCAGTGTGGGCGGTGCAATGGTCCGTTTCAAATGAGTGGGTGCTTCTCAGCGGAGGCTGCGATGGTCAAATCCGATGCTGGGATATAAGGCGAGCAGGTTGCTTCATGCAGCTTGACCAGCATCGAACGCTGCAAGGGCGCCGCAGTGGCGCGAAGCGTGCAAGAGGTAGCAGCGATAAACTCCCATCGAGGTTGGATGGTGCTTGCCGAGCTGCAGGTTCAGCAATTGGACCAAGCGTATACAGCAGTTCAACTGCAGTTGGAGGAGGGGGGAGGTCGGGGGCATGTGGGAACACTGCTGCAGCTAGAGTTAGCAATGAGGTTGGAAGACGTTTCCCTTCTCCTGCTCCTCCTCCTCCTCTGCAGCGAAGTCGTCACCCTCCTCCTCTGCAGCAGCAACAATTGGCAGGCAATTGGTCGGCAGGCGTGGGTGGTAGGAGCGTTGAAGCAGAGCTACAGAAGCGGAAGATGATGGCCAGTCAGATCAAGAGTGGCCACGTCGGCGGCGGCGGCAAAGAAACGGTGGCCTTGTGTGAGGGAGTTGGTTCTTCTGCTCGTCGGCATGTTGCCCACGATGCAGCGATAACTGGGTTGGCACCCACTGCGGATGGACTGCATTTGGTAAGCTCAGGGCTGGACTCCAGGGTTCGGTTATGGGACTTGGCGACTGGTTGCAATACATTGGTTAATTACGCAGGGACTCGTAGTCATTCCTCAATGCCCACACAGATCGCTGTTTCGCCAGACTCGGCGTTTATATACCGTCCGAGTGGGAACGCCATTCAGGTTTTTGAAATGTTAACTGGAAAGCAACATACCGTTCTGCACGGGCACTTCGATAAAGTTAGTTGCTGCACCTTCCACCCTGCCGAGCAGGAGCTGTACACTGGCAGCGCTGACAGACAGATTCTAGTGTGGGGACCACCAACCAAGGAGGTTTCTGACGACGATGACCCCAAAGGAAGAGGTTCATCAGAGCAGAACGAAGTAACACGAAGAGAGGTGGAGGATGAGGATGCATGGAGTGACTAAGTAGACAGACGTTGTTGCATTCAGGCTTGGTAAGGGCATCACAAAACTCCCGTGGGGGCAGGTTCCTGATGATGGCCCCAAAGGCAGATCTCCACCTTCCACCCTGCCGAGCGGGAGCTGTACAGCGGCAGGGCTGACAGACGGATTCTAGTGTGGGGACCACCAATCAGCGAGCTTCTTGATGCTGATGACCTCAAAGGCAGAGGTTCGTCAGGGCAGAAGAAAGTAACACGAGGAGAGGTGGAGGATGAGGATGCGTGGAGTGATTAACTAGACAGACGTCGCTGCATTCAGGCCTGGTAAGGGCATCACAAAACTCCAGTGCGGGCACGGCCAATCGCAGAGGTTCCTGATTATGGCCCCAAAGGAAGGGGGTTTTGTCAGCAGAGAACAAAAAGATGGGGAGATGAGAAGCGGATGGAGGATAAGGATGTGTGGAGTGATTAGTTGGACAAATGTTGCTGCATTCGGGCTTGGTAATGGCATCACAGATTCTAATGTGGGCACCACCAACCAAAGGGGTTCCTGACGATGGACCCGAAATGCAGGGGCTTGTCAGAACAGAACAGAGAGACTGGATCAGGGGTGGAGGGAATAGGAGGATGCACGGAGTGGTGATTAGACAGACGGCGTTGCGGGCAGACTCAGTGAAGGGTGTGTGTAGCTGTGGGTGTGTTATTGCCTAGATGCGGAAATGGTTCAAAGAGTGCCTCAATCTGGGGTTAAGTCGAATACCACAAACAGAGGGGATCTTTTGAACCGCGATTGGTCTAGACAGACCTTGAGGAGATTGATAAGCGTGGCTGCTCCCCAAAGATGATGATGCAGGAACGGAGAAATGGTCCGCTGGCTTTTGGATAAGTGAAGCTCAGCTAAGGCATGTGCTTGGCGATGAAAGTATGAGCTGACGTTGCATATCTGCGCTCAGGGAGTTAATGGGATGAGTGAAGTAGTTTAACTTCAGTCTACAGCTGACTCAGGTATTGGTTGACAGGCTGCTGTTCGGACTTTCTGGCCGGCCTGGACAGCGTCTTAATCGAGTGTGATTGAAAGAGGGGTGGATCTGGTCCTGATTCCATCCTTTGTTTAGAGCGTGATTGGCGTGATTGAAAGCACTGGGTTTGCGAGGAGATGGGTTTAGAAGGTGGAGGGGGTCTGGTCCTGATTCCATCAATTTCACACAGGCGGTCTGCCACGTTCTTTCTTTCTATTTGAGAGTACCTGGGATGGCTTCTGTCAGTTCTGTTCGCATCACCAGTCGTGGATGATTGAAATCTGGGGGCGTGAGTTTCTTTACTTATGCTCAACCCCTCCTTCCCCTCCTTCCTCTCTCCCTCCCTTCCCCTCGCTTTCTCTCACCCTTCTTTCTCTCCCTCCTCTTTCCCTCTTTCTCCTCTCTTCCCCCCTCCTTCCTCCCCCTGCCCTGGTACCAGGTCATTGGTAGTGTAAGACCCAAATCCGTTTACTACTAGTGTGCAAGTCGGTAGTTTTAGTTGGTTAATGACTTTATACACAGTATGCCAGTATG